CAAATCAAAAACCTGCAAAAAAAATGATCGTCATACGTTACCAAAAAAATCCGGTGACTTATGTCAGGGGAGTGTACCAGCTTTGTTGCTAGCACAAATAAGTTAGTGTTAGTGCAAAGAAGCTATGTAAGCGGTAGTGACTGGCTATAAGCTATTTGCGAGAAATACCAGCTTTGTATTAGTAGACACAAAAGAAGCTACGTAAGCGATGGTTAAAAAGCCATCATAATCGCCGGCTCAAAATCTGATATTGTTAAAAAAAAAAATGCTTTTTATTAGACCATTTGCGAGAAGTACCAGCTTTGTATTACTAACACAAAGAAGTTATGTAAGCGGTAGTGACTGGCTATAAGCTATTTGCGAGAAGTACCAGCTTTGTTGCTAGCGCAAAGAAGTTATGTAAGCGGTAGTGACTGGCTATAAGCTATTTGCGAGAAATACCAGCTTTGTATTAGTGGACACAAAGAAGTTACGTAAGCGATGGTTAACTGATTGATAAAAAGCTACCATAATTGCCGGCGAATAATAGATCTGATCTGTTCAATTTGTAATAAGCTTAAAATTTTATTTTTGGATGAATAGTAACATTTATTATTATTTTATTTTTACAGATACGATATACGGGGACCTCCACAGCAAAAGGGTGCATTGGGACAAAAATTTTGATTTTGTAATTTTATTCCTATTAATCTAATTCTTCAAGAAATCAATTAAAATAAAAAAATTTTTTGGCCCAATGCCTGGAGGTCTTAGTAAATGAAAATCTAATTCGGTAAGGCTTTTCTAGAATGGGTTCTATGGACAACAAGAATCTCGACCGGGTCAAAATCCCGATGAAGTTTGTGATTCGTACTGCCGGGATTTGAAAAAATATAGCGAAGTCACAAAATTACTAAGATTTTGATGTTAAAATATACTAATAAAAAAATTAAAAAAAAAGTTACACTAGTAATATCCAGATCCATAATCCAGCGCGTTTGCTACTTTCGCTTAAAAATATGATTTCAAACTATTACAAAAAGATTTATATTAACTGGTTTTTAACCGTTCATGATTTTTTTTTTAACCAAACATTGATCGGTTAACCGTTAGATTTGGACTAGGATTTAGGGTTAGAGTTTATAATAAAAGAGTATAGGTGGGGTTTAGTGCGTTTACTTTTTTAGGTATTTAAGATTATTACTCATTCGATCCGTTTGATTTTTTCCAAATTTAGGCAAAAAAAACACTTGAGTCACCTATTTTTGAATCAGATGAAAATTTATTAATTTTTTTGTTATATGAAGCACTGTATATGTTGTAGAAGTTGCACAATAAACATATTAATTTTTTGCAAACTTCTATATAACAATAATAAAATTTAATTCTTTCTATATAAAAAAAAAATACGTGTACGTATAAAATTTTCAAAATAGTAAATTTTATGACCAAAATTAATTTATGAACCAATTTATCATGTGAAAAAGCTTGCAATATACAGTAATGAAAATTTATTAAGTCAATTAAATAATATATGGTTATACAATAAATATATTGCTAATTCTATTTAAACAATGAAATTCAAACCTTTTAAAAAAACGATATAGTCTCAAGCATAATAAGATGGTGAAATTAACATATCGGAAAGAAGAGACAACTGATCTTCCGTAAACTGCTTCATATCTTCATGCCATGAATCCTGATGCGTTCTTTTGAAGTCCGCAAACGTATTTTTTACAGTTGCCTAAAATTATGAACGAATAAATGTGAAAAATCAAACCAAATATATATGGAAAAGTTCAGGAAACGGGTAGTACCTGTATTGGAGCAGGATCCGAAATGCATTCTGCCAATTTCACCAACACCTCAGGCATCCATTTTGGAACTTCATAAGGAAAAGCATTAACTAAGCATGACAACCCGAGAACGCCCGCATGTCTAATAAGAATTGCCTCTTGAAAGCCTTGAGGTAATGTCGTTCGAGGTGCCTTACGCGTAGTATTACGTGGAGGGATTTTTGTGTCTAATAACTTGAAAAATTGATCCTAGAATCAAATAATGCAAATAATATAAGTTATCGAAGAATGTTAACTTTCTAACTACCATAGTGGATGACTTACTTTTAAAGTAGCTATAGCACCCCTTTGTGAACATCGTATAAGACCTGATAATGTAACCGCTGCCAATTGACGCACCTAGTACAATGGATAACCTAAGTATAATGTATTTAATTCAATAATATGCTAGTTTCATAATGTAATCACTCACTTCAATTTGAGTGTCTTTTAGCATGTCAAACACCACATCCATTACTTTAATCATTTTATCTTCGCTTAACATAAAAAGATGTTTAAAAAAGAAAACTTGTAACACTGGAAGGGCTTTTACGCGTACATGCCAACTAGATGTTTCAGTTAAAATTTCTATGAATTTATCAATAATCAATTGCACCATATCAGGAGGATAAGAAAAGGACGCAATAACATTCAATACATGAGTTGCGGCAGCTTGAAGATCTTGGTCATCATTTATATCTTGCATTTGGAACAATGAAGGAAGCAGAGGGAGTATCAAGGGGTAGGTAGCAGATGCTTGCCAGATAGTAAGTGCATCATAAAGCCAGGCAAGTACTAAACATGATTGAATAAATGAAATGATGAGACTTCTCATCAAAATACAAATTTCAGAAATTAGCACATACCTGTCTTACTAGCGTTCCCGTATTCTGATGAACCAGCTGCTGTAGGTTTTCTTTCTGCTTGCCAAGTCGCTAATGATTGTACTAATTCCGTTATTATGTTATTTAAGTTGCCAGGCAAAATAACAGGCACATATCCAACTCCTTCAACAGTCTTGCAATTGAATTCAATTATTTCCGAAACATTTGATGCAGAAGGATGCCATTGCATTTGTAGCAATATGTTGATATTAGCCGCCATAACATCACGTACTTGTTTATAAGGATGACGAATGTTCGAAAAATAGTCACTAAGTAGCGATTGTGATCTTGGTATAATACGCCATGAAAAAGAATTGATGAGGGTATTTACGAAAAAAAGTTTTTTTGCTTCTGCAAAAGAAGCATGAGAAGTAGGATCAAGTTTTGAATCCAAAACTAGATTAATAAGAGGAAGTACCCGTCTAGGATCTCGATTTCGCTATTAAATACACAAAGTACGCAAATAGGTAAGCACAAACAAAAATATTAAAACTGATTTTGTAATAAAAAAAAACATACGAAACAATATCCAAGAAATCTTTCCCAATACACAAGAGAATCAGGTGTAATGGAAGCGAAAGTCTTCTCAATCACAGGAATCGCCCAATCCCACAGAGCTTGCAATTTATCCAATCTCCAATGTTTGCTTCCTCTAATTAAACCCGCTAAAATTTCAGATGCAGCACGCTGTTGATTTTTCTCTGCCGATTCACATAATTTAGTAATTTCTGGTTTAGCAACTTCCAAGAAAGTGTCTTCATACATTTGAAAGATACTTTTAAATAGATGTGCATTGATCATCGAGAAATTATCTTCTCGATCACGAACAAATTCTTGTGATAGATAAGATAATAAAGATGACCAAAAAGTAGATGAATTAAAGCTTTCAAGAAATTTGTTGAACGCGGCTTGAGAGGACGATTCACAACTTGGCATTGTATTTGACTCGGTACATGGTGAATACACAGAAATATTATCAGGCCAAACAAACCAACCAACATTGACCTTATCTTGAAATAGTCTATTAATTATAAAACATAATTTATTCAGCAAATATTTCGTCAATATGCAGAATTTTCTCAATTATACATACACATTTGTTGCGTTATTTTCATTGATTTTAGTCAAGCATGTTGTTAAATATTCGGCAGTATATCCTTCCGGTAAAGGTCTCGGTATTTCAATGGTCTTTTTCAAAGGATTAGTGGCTTTTTCTAAAGCTATTAACTCTAAATCGCCACCTATAAGTGTTCGTTGTTTAATATGAAACAAAATTCGGGTTGTTGTAGATATAGCGATTCGCCTCAATGCGGGAAGCTCAGAAACAAGGCCTTTTGCTGCAAATTCTACCATATCCGGAGATGCTGGTGCTTCCGGCCTTACTAAAAGATCCAAAAAATTTGCAGCCATAGACGCAAACCGCCAATGAAGCGTATTAGATTTGACCAAATTTAGAAGCGTATCGACCTACATAAATTAGCGAAGATGTCAATTTTACGTTTAATTTTTAATAACTTAATTAATTGACTTACAAGTTCAAAGTAGTTTTTTTTCTGCAAAGACATTCTTTGTTCAGTTTTATGTCGAATTTTATCGAACATATTTCCATCCAATGAAATTGAAAGGGTATCAAACGTTCGACATATTGCATCATTTAATCCATCCGTAAGAATTGTTTTGAATGCAGTATTGTTGTAATTCAATAGATAATCATAAAAGACTTTGCGTATCATTTCTTGGACTGAAGGCTGCAATGAATACAAAATAATGAATTAAAATGAAAAAGTTGTAGAATTAGTAATGCATTGTTATATACATGTTACGACTAACCTTGTCATCATGTTGAGCTTGGCATATACGGCTTATGAACGATGGAACAAATCTCCAATCTCTTAAACATGTATACATATATGTCCGAGAACTTAATAAATAGAGGGCACCTTTCATTCTTTCTGAATTCGGCTTATCTAAAAAAGAAAAAAAAAACTATAAATGCAAAATCACTTTAATCCACATTTTATAGATTTAATATTACCACTTGGTTCTAAAGCGTCCAACAAAATAGGAATAATAAGAGGCTTCGCACCAATGAAACAACGAGAAGCATTTGTAAGATGGGATTGTGCTATTCTAAAATTATTATAAATGAACTACATGAAGACAGAGTTACATGTATATATAGATGGTAAACATAATAGATTAATCTTACTTTCTAATCTCTGAGTAAGTACTTAGAGATAATTCGACCAAATCTTTGAGCAAATCATCATGTAATCGGGTTCGCTCCCTACCAAATGCATTTTGCTTCAAACGACATAGATGTTGTTGGTATGCTCGCTTGACTATACGTTTAATAAAACTTTAGGTTAATGATCAATAATATTAAGGCATTCAAATTCTTTTTTATATTTTAAGTTACCTAGTAAATAACGAGGATATTTTTTGTCATGGTTAGAAGTTTTCAACATTCCTTTAGCATATTGATAACCTCGTTTACTTGCATCGTATTTTGATTTTTCTACGCCACGGTCCGTGAGATATATTTTTATGATCTATACACGAAAACATAAATATTTTGAAACACAGGTAAATTTAATAATATGGCTGTGAGTCAGTAAAAACATACCAAATCTATTTTACTGACTTTAAACAAAAATAACTCAACAAAAGCTTAATCAATTTTAATACAAATTTTTTTAAATGAATTATTATTTTATTTTTGTTCAAAGTTTTAAAAATTTTATTTAGAAAAGATTTGGTGCCCATCCCATATAATAAGGTTAAACATTAAATTCACTGACCTTGAGGAGGATTTTCAAACTATCAACATCATCTTCACGTGTCGTTCGGAAATGTGTAACCAATTTATGAAGAAATTCGCCTAATTCTTTCCGCAATTTTCTTGCAGTTTGCCTGCGTGGATCATTTGGATCTGAAAAACAATAACCCACTGGAATACTTTTTATTGGAAGAACAGCTTCAGTCTCACAATCTCTAAAATGTCAAAATCTGATTCAATAATTGTATTTCTTAATTCGTTGTCAAGATATCAGCTTCGAAATTACTTGTAATCCGAGATCTCAATGTCACCATCATCTTCAACAAGTGTAGTCATTCCGCCAAGGCAATTTCGAACTATACTCAGATGACGACAAAACTCGTGTGTCATTTCTCGATTACTCAATGTTTTCCCTTCCTCGTCTGTCCCATTATCCATTAAATCTTGAATCCTTTTTAAAGCTGGTAATAAAAATATTTCCAAAATTTCCATTGCAAAATCCAATTCAGGATCGGAAGGAACATGCCAATCAACATTTATATTTTCTGGATCACCTGGCTGAACCCAGTGTTTGTGTTGGTTTTTCTGATATTCTGTCATATATATGATTAACAAATCTATAAGCTTATTCGTTTCAAATTTCAGTCATAATAAGTTATTTACCTTCGGATTTCCATCGCTCTTGATCAACATTTCGACATTCCAAAGGATAAATTTGTGTCAATGCGACCAACAACATTCTTATAAATTTTCCAGTCCACATGTACCCTTTCCGAGAACGACACTTTTGTACCATTTCTTTTCCCAAATACAACAAGTCATTTTTGTGACGAAGTAATTCAGATCCACTTAACATGATAACATGATACAAAATACATTGATACCAATGTAATGTAGCGTCCGATTGTATATGATGTGTTGGAGAAGTTGTGGGTGTAGATGATGCGCCATGTTGAAGTTCAGTAACAATATTTGTATGGCAAAGAGGGATAAACTGTGCAAGCGCCTTGCGCCTATCTGGACTTGTAAGAGTGGAACATAAGTATCCTGTAATGTTTGGAAAATGATCGTTAAAAAATTAATAATTTTCAGTTTATATTATATAATATTACAAAAATCTTGCATTAATGCACAAATTCTTACCCATCGGCTTTGTAGCATTTTGAAGTACTGTGGTTGATGCAAAATTTACAACCATTTTTAAAGCCATATCCTGAAGTTGTTCAGACATTTGTGTGCCAACAATTTCACAAGCATGCTGGAAATGGCAAAGAAACTTAGCATACAGGAAAAGCTTTTATGTACAAAAATATGAAAATGGAATTTAATAATTACCAACAACACGGTGACCAATCCAGTTTCCATGCTTTGCATACTCATCTTGCCACGTTCTGACTGTGGAAGATATTCAAACTATCGCAGATTTTCAAGTATCAAATAAAATGAAATCAAAATAATAAATGAATATAAGGACAATAAAACACTTAATGCAATTAATTGAGAGCTGCACTTTAAAAAGAGAAAATCCATGTGACATACAATAGTGAAAACGCGCCTTAAAAATTTTGCAAGCCAATCCTCAAATACAGCAGTACTAGCCTTACACAAGGCATCTTCTTCCTCTACGTTGATTTCTATTTGATCTTCTTCCCTTTCATCGATATCCATCCCTTCCCACCTAAATCCAGATTCTGTGGTACTACCTTCAGTCAAATCTCTTAAAGGGACGCCCATAACAGCGTGCGTAAGAAAGATAAGGGACGAAATTGTTTTTATTGGATCATTCATGTCAATCCCAGGAATTGTTAAATGAAGAAGCGGAGCAAGATGTTTTCCACCGGCAGGATAATGGGCACGAGAAAAAAGTGGAATCGCCAGAAGCGAAAGAGCTGATATGGATGATGTCGTTCTATGAGTCTAAGAAACATATATATATATTTTGTTCATAAGCTAACAAACCAACTATATATGATAATGAGTGGATATTGTTTTGTACCTCTGTTAGATTTTCTAAAGAGGGATAAACGCGTCCTAACAACCCTGGAAATATTAATGAAGGTTCTAGCCCTGCAAAAAAATTTTAATACATGATTTCCGTTAGGGAAACAATCGTTATGTAAGATTATTGTTGATATTTCTTTAAACAATAAAGGATACAGGCTAAATATTTTAACGCAGCTTGACTCGATCCAACAGATAATGGGTCCTTGCCAAACATTGATAAGAATGTAACCCCTCTAAGAATAAGAACAAATTGCCGTTTAAGTTCAGGTGTTAGACGCCGTGACTCTGGTGTCTTACATTCTGGCTTGTGTTCTATACAAAAAAAAATTTTTTTTATAACATCTTAAACTGACGAATAAAAGCTTGGTAAACAACGTTTATAAACAAATCAAGCAATCAATACCATCTGTCCATCGTTTTAAGAACTCCCACCCAAGAAACTGTAAAAATCTTACGATAGAAAAGGTCCATCGTCCAAAATTACTTGGATGATAATACGATTCGGTTGCTTGAATCATATTCGCTAAATATGTAAGAATTGATTTCTCTTGGGGATGATTAGAGGGTGGAAAGATAGCATATACAATAAACCTGGCTAGCATTTTGAATTTGTCCTATGCGTACATTAAATTAAAATCGGTTGAAAATCATTTGTAAAGAATGAATGTCTAAATATATTTAACCGTTAAACGGAACCTACCCCTTTTTTCCTTAAAAGCATGGCGCTGCCTGTTCTAAGATCCATTCTTGAAGGCAATACTGACATTGATCCACCTCTTCCAGAACTACTATTGCCGTTGGTGGTACTGCCCACAGGCAAATCCATCATTTTTTGACCAGTTGCAAATACAGTTTTAACTTGTGCTTGAGTAAAAATGCCTATCTGGTCTGGATTATTAACTTCAACACCAACATTATCTTCAGCAACGCGAGCAACAAGATCTATAAACTCTATTTGATACACCAATGATCCTGGGATAAGGTACCAAAATGAGAATATAGTAGGTAACCATGTGGAAGGAGATGATTTGGGAGATGGCCCAGTTGGGAGGAATCGAACAAGATAGGCTTGTACCGTGAATGCATCTCCAACAGAATTGACATTAAAAAGAGGAAGCACTCGAGAAAGAATTTCATTTGTGGCTTCTGGGGGAAAAAATCTAAAAAAAAATTTTAAATTCGTTATTGCCATTCAAATAGGATAAAATCATTTAAATAGACCTAATATCTTACCTTTGCGCATATTCCACCAGACGTACCACAGATCCAATTTGTTTACTAATAATGGTTCTGTGAATTAAGGACTATTTTAAGAGTAATTAGGGTCAATGCGTGGTAAGAAAATATTTCAAATAGGATACGATTCACTGACTAAGGTTTTCTGTCGACTTTTTGGGAAAAAAGTTCGGTGAATGATATCATATAATGGTTCCCATGGTAGTGTTAAATCCTCCGGTCCAATTTTGTCCTTTTTTCTTTATTAATGGTAAACAATGTAAATAGCAATTTCTTAATTGTTATAATAATCAAAAAGTAAATGTCTAATCCAATCGAACATACTTGAGCAAACGTATACAGGTATTCGCAAAAACCTCAGCATGAGATGCGTCAATTCCAGGTGTGATAACGAGCTCGAAAAGAACGTGGGCTAATTGAGCGCGAGTTTGGCGTGATAAAGGGTGCTGGAGATCAAGATAACTAGAACACGGTTTAAATTTATTTATCACAATTTTTGCGTGGATTAACCCGAGAAATGTTAAATGTTCACTTAATTCCTGGTTATAAGGAAATTCAACTAGTGTATCTTACCCGTTGAGCTGTTTTACCCAATAACTACAGCCCGGGCCCCAATCTTGCGCTTTTGCCGAGGAACATAGGCGCTCTACGACGACGTTTAGTAAAGCTTCAGCCTCGCCTTCCAAGGCGGCTGCATAAGGAAGATTTTCTGAAAACATTCGTGTTGATATTGAGAATTAACACGAAGCAAGAAATCTTTTATATAATCGGAACTCCAACGTGACCTTCTAAGAAACTGACGTAACATTATTTACGTATAGCAGTTTACGTACGCACGTATGTACGTTACGTATCAGTACGTTGACGTATTCGTTAACGTAATTCTGTTAACGTATTATTTTAGTTGTTGCTCTTTCCTTTTCAAGTTAATCTGATCTAATCTGTAATTTACGTAACTTATTGCTTTTGTTACTTTTGTATTTTGTCTGATTTTATAACTTCGCTTTGTATAGTGATTGAATGCAGGAATATAATAGAAATGCATAGCGATGGTATTGTAGCAGAGCCATAATAATGATATCACGATGACACTACGTGGAATGTCTACTTCCAAAGAATTACGCCATTGAAAAATATATATAGTAATAACATAAGATAAAAAATGCTAACTTTTCAAGTTTCTAATCAGGTATATTAGATGTAACTACTGATTTTTGATCTTCTGTGTATTAAAAAAATTTTTTGTAATATTGGTACACTACTATTTGCTTATATACTACATGTATATAAAATTATAATAAAAATAAATTTACTATAAATTTTGCAACTATAGCCTTAAATTTTGTAAATACAGTATATATACTGTATAGTAAAACAAAAAGAAAAAGAAAAAAAATTATTTTATTATTAATAAAAAAATAAATTAGCTATAATACTGTATATACTAAAATTAAAAATTTTAGTTTATCTACAGTATATGAAAAATTTTTTTTACTAAAATAATTTATTTTGAACTTTTAAACAAAATTGGTTAATATAATTTTTTTTTTTTTTTTTTTACAGCATTTAGCTTAGAATAAATATTATATTTAGTAATATTTATATTATAAGAATACAACTAGCTATTTACAATTTTTTTATTTATTTTTTTTTTTTAACTTTTTGACAGTTTTGCTAGAGTTTAAATAAAAATTTTATTATTTAATTAATAATAAACAAATTTAATAAATCTAAACAAAATTATTTTGAAATTGAAGCCTAATATTTTCTAGCTATGATTTATATGCCTAGAAGCAACTTATTATTCTCTTGAAACACAAATATTAATGGCTATCTGTTTGCTATACTAAATTTAATACAGTTATAAAATTTAAATTTTGAAAAATTTTTTTTATTTTTTATTTTTATTTTTTTTTTTAACTCTTTAATAGTCTTGCCAAAGCTTAAATACAACTTTATTTATTTAATCAATAACAGTAAACCATTTTAAATAAACTAAGTTTTAAAATTGCAAGCTTGATATCTACTAGCTATATAATGTGCCTATTAGCAACTCGTCGCACTATCTTGTATACAAGTTGGATAGACCTTGTTAGCCTATCGAAAGCTAATTTTTTCAATTTTTTTTTTTTTTTAATTCTTTGACAGTCTTGCCAGTGCTCAATTTATTTAAGACTATATTCAGGTGAGAGTTGAACTCTCTCGAACAATACATATCATTCATAACCCAAAAAGGCGTCTGGCGATTGCAAGCCTGACATCACCCGGCTGCGATTAACGTGCCCACATGCGACTTGTCGCACCGACCTGTATACAAGTCAGATAAACTTTGTCAGCCCATCAAAGCTTTTCCCTTCATATTCTCTTTCTTTACCGAGAGCAAAAGAAAGTGATAATCTTATATCCAATACAAAACCACCAATAATACCAAGAAAACAAAATGAAGAACTCACTAAAAAAAACACAAATAGAACGAAAGGGAAATTTTTAAGGAAAAATAAAAAGGGTACAATGGAATATAAAAAAAGAAAATCAAAGAGAAAAGCCCAAGGGCCAACAAAGAAAACTACCTCTATCAAGAAGCAGTACAAATAGAACGAAGAAAAATACACTATTATAACTCGTGCCAGGTTTAAGAAAATATTTTATAACAACTGCAACATTTATATATCTCGACTAAAAAAATCCAACAAATTATTATCTGACTACCGACCACTTCCGGACGCTGCTATAGATCTGATCCCAGTCATGTGGAGGTCCCGTATCCATAGACTATGTCATGTCATATATCTACCGATAAACAAAGCACGTGGTTATATTTCTGGGTACTTCCGAATTTGGGAGGTAAACAATGCCGATCTTTTGGAAGGGGTAAGCCAAATCACCCACTTTTTGTCAAAAAATTTGAAGAAAACCAACAGGACCAAAGGAGACTTAAAGGAAGGACCACTATTACTCAAAGAAAGTATTTTATTCTTGAAAGAACTGACAACTAGTAACCCTTTTTCTAGAAAAGGGGAGGAGCTACTGTACTTAAACGGTAAGTGATAAACTCTAAACTTGTCGGCAAGTAGTGTATAAGAACTACTTCTAAATGACAAGTGCCATGCCAGGGTGAGTGATAAACTCTGAAGAAGTTAGCAGGTAGCATATGAGAACTATCTCTAAATAACAACTGCCGACTTATAGATTCTAGTTTTATACTCTTCATTATTTACTAGTTACTGTTTTTACAAAAATTGTTTAGGAAATTTTGGTTTTAGTGATCGTCAAAAAGAGTTTTTTGTTACCAGTTACTACTAATATTTTATTATTATTATTATTTATTTTTAGTATTATTATTATATTATTTACTTTTATTTTATTTTATCTTTTAACTATATATATATTATTATTTATTCTTACAATTTTATTCTTATTACATATTTATTATATTATATATATATATTTTTTTTGATGGCCATGTCATATGCCTGCTTTATTGATAAGATATTACATTTCCTGAAGAATTTGTCTAAATTATATCATGGTTTATAGCAAAAAATCTGGAATGTAGCTTACTCGGTTTCCAATTAGACCTATGTGCGACTTGCCAAAGATGAGTTCAATCTCCCCGGTTAGGTTCAGCTTACCATATATTGCTGAAAATAAGCCACCTCCGAAAATAAGCTACCCCTTTTTTTCTTGGAAAAGAAATATAGGAAAATTTGTAATTCCGAAAATAAGCTATCCCTAATAATTTTTTAAAATCCGGAAGTAGTTTCTATATATAAAAGTCAAAATTCTATTAAATAAATCGATAAAAGTTACTTAATAGCGGTTGTTCAGGACGTAAAAATACACATATCCTGAAAGTTTGAGAACTTTTTACTAAGATGTTTTTGCATTTTATGTTTGAACGTAAAATGCAAAAACATCTTAATAAAAAGTTCTCCGATTTGCTTCAAACTTTCAGGATATGTGTATTTTTATGTCCTGAACAACCGCTATTAGTGACCTTTATCGATTTACTTAGTAGAATTTTGACTTTTATATATAGAAACTACTTTCAGATTTTAAAGAAATAATAAAAATCAACCTTTTCAAAATTTTACCCGAAAATAAGCTACCCCCAGGATTTTTGTATCACTTTTTTGGCCAAAAAAGGTAGCTTATTTTCGGCAATATACGGTACTTTATTTTAATGATTTGAACCGGGTAAAAAATTCCTAATCGGTTAACCGAGTTGACTTACCCAGATACAATCGGGTTAACCGTATTGCTTTGGTTAGATCGGTTGACCCGGCTAATTCGGTTGACCTGAGTTATTCGGGTCAACCAGGTCAACCGAGTTATTCGGGTCAACCGGGTCAACCAAATTATTCGGGTCAACTGAATTATTTGGGTCAATCGAGTTATTCAGGTCAACTGAATTATTCGGGTCAACTGGGTCAACTAACCTAATTAAATATTGCATTACAGCTATTATCATAATTTCTGAAACACCTGATAAAAATTAGCCAGATTCAGTAACAGA